GGGATGTAATACCTCGACGGCTGGAAGTCTACGGAATGCTGGAGCGCACGTGATCAACAGCCCGCAACATGAAGGTCCAGAGCGCGTGTGGCGGATGGTCGTAGAAATCTCCGGTGGGATATGTGCAGGAACGCCGAACTCATCACGTGGCATCACGTCATACTCGAGCTCCAGGTCCGTGTCCCAGCCGGGCTTGTCGTAAACGTTCGTCCACATCACCTCAGGCAGTGTTTTTGCAACCAAGCTCAAGTATGGCCACAGAAAGCCTTTGTGGCGGCCAGGCTGCTGGCCAGCCCGGGTTGACTGCCTCAAGTCACTCACGCCGTCCACAAGCTCAAGTTTGCTCACTTGGTGACGACTGGCGTGTCTGTGTTGCCAAGGCGCAGTATTGAAACGAGGCGTGCTCTGGTGCAGCTGTCGCTGCTGCAGCATCATAGGGCCCAACGGCGACAGGCAGCGGGATGCACAAAGGCCGGAGGGAAGTGCCTTCAAGGAGCGAAAACTCAAGTTGCACTTCAAAGAGTCCCGTAACCTGGCACGCCTTCACGGACCTCACCTTCGCCGTAAGGCGACGAGTGCAGCCTGTAATCATCGCCATGGCAGTCGAGAGCCCTGAAGAGCGCAAGGCTTTTCTAAGCTCTCCTGGGCCAAATTTGTAACGAAGCAGACCGCAACCACAGCCGATCTGCTGACTCTCGCATATCTCGTGTTTCTATTCTTTCTGAGGCTCCGACAATCTCGGCAAAGCCCCGAGCACCCAACCTGGGTTCATGCAAGCTCTCCTAAGGAGGCACTGTCCATCACTGAATCCAGGAGTACTCAGCTCTGGCTTCTTTTGCATTCGCACACAGCACGTGGCTCCTCCACTTCATCTCCGTTGGGTGTGGCGCTGCCTCTTTGATTGAATGCTGTATCATGCTTGCCGCCTTCCTCACCAAAGCGGCAGAGGCCCAAGCGGGAACGCCACACGCTCTGTCACATTCGTTGAATCACTCGGAAAAGATAATCAGCTCCGGAATCGAGATGTGCTATTTCATGGTGCAGCATCTTACAGGTCTCCGCGAGGAACTACCCAATTGATCTTGTGCTCAGGAGCCTGTTCACGTCACAGCAGACACAAGAAACTCACACTAGCTCTGCTTACCCGGGCTTGTCTGCCCTGATCGGCTACACATGGTCTGACAGCGCCTCCAGGTAGAACAACTTCATGTCGATGCGGTACTGGCGATGAGCTTGGATGTAGACCTGACATCGGGAGCTTGAGGGGCCTCCCAGATTTGAAGCATCATGCACGGCATGCACGCAGGCCGAAAGCCAAGGAGTCGGCCCAGGCAAAAAACAAACCAACGCCCATACCACCGAGGAAGTCGCGCAGATAGTGCCTGCGCAGAAATGTGGACGGATGACAAAGCCCGTCCGCTGGGATCAGGGACATCTATAACTCCATAACGCAGGCGAACTGCAGGAATGAAACAGAACACACATTTATGGGGTATCATGTCTTATGTTTCT